ATAAATCATCCAATCAGCGAAGCGAAGCCCGCATGTGTCACTAGCCAGCGGTATACCCTTTGAACCCATGATGCAAGTGGAAAAGAGAAAGTTGTGTAACTAACTTCGTGGAATATACATGTACGGCGAATATTGTGATTTTTCCAGAGTTCAACCGTTCAAGTGATGCTTTCCTCCACAGGAATCAGTCCTCAGGTATCTGCACTATGTTTTCTGCCGTTGAATACAGAAGAATTTGGTTTATTTATGTGGTTCCCGTTTCGCGTTCTTGTCTATTCCCTGCGTCATGCTCCAATCTTCCAGGAAGTTTACAATACGTTTTCACAACGCATCTATGATATTTCCTCTTTTTTCCCCTTTATCTGATCTAAGTTATTTTGTTGAAGCAAGCCGCTTAAAACGCGTATAAGACTTAAGGTTTCTCGATACTTTAAACGGTACAGACTCTGACAGTCTGTGGTAAAAAGCTGTTTGAAGATGCTTGGTTTACTCGTGGTCCGGAAAAAACTGTATCGAGACGCCTTAAGTTTATATAATGAGCGGAAGTATAAGTTAAGTTCAAGTCTGCATGTACAGTTGTAGGTTTGGTGTCAGGAAAGAAATCTGATCATTTGCGTATGTTGATGAAACTACCTGTATCTTTGGCCAATTTTTAATGATTATAACCTCGGTCAATTTTTTTGAATAGTAGAAAAATAATCCATCCCGCCTTGTTTTTGTATGTGGAACTATTTATCCCTGATAAATTTCCAATGGATCCTCTTAGCAGCATGCAAGTTGCTAGGAAGCAGACGGGAGGACCATATAGGGGAAAGTTGTTATATTACATAAGGTCACTCCAAAAACAAATTGCCTGCCAGTGAAAACCATTTGCCTCCTGCTCAAAATGTAAATGAAACTCCTGCATGGTAGTTTTTGTTGCTGGAGCATGCAAAAATAACAAAATTACATGTATATTCTTCAACTTTTTAAAACACCTTTTAAATTTTGTATGCTTTCCTTGTATATACATGCATTATGCCCTTGTGGTTTATGTCTAAGGTCTCTGTTTGTTTTCCAGGCTGGAGGACTTCTTACTCAAGTGACCACTTTGTTAAATACTTTTAAGAACTCATCTGTTGGAAGATATTTGTCGTATGCACAGATGAAAACACAACATATTAAAAAGTCAAAATCAAAAACAGAACAAAACCAGGTGACCACATCAGATTTGGAGACAGGCAGCAGTAATCAAGTGAGTACATACACTTGGGTTGTTACTGCATGGATAATTAAACTTCAAGAATTTTGGGACATGATTGGCACCTTACGTTTACATTATACTATGATTATCACTCTATTAAAGTGTGGCAGAAGTTTGGTAACCAGGTTTAAATGTCAAAATTGTATTGTTGTCACAGGCAACTTGCTCCATTTCCAGTGACAACTCGTCGGCCTTTGCAGCAAAGTGCACAAAACTGTAGGTAATGCATGGCTGTTGATGTTGTTATCACTGGAAACAAGGAAAGTTGTCTGTGACAATACTGTAAATTTTAAGGCCAAAACTTCATCACTGAAGCCCCGTCACGTCTTACTCAACTGATAATCATTCTAAAACTAAAATCTGGAACCCTGAGGGGTACATCTCATAAGTAGGTCATGAAATAACCTTTGAGTGGTAGTGTACATGTTTATTATAAATAAATGAATATTCTTACTGACACACTGAGTTTGTTTTAGGATCCATATGCTACATTTCTTGATGAATTTGGCATATCTTCAGTTCCTGCTGATTTATTAACACAGCTTGCTACACCTCTGTCCGTCTGCCGTTGTAACACACACAACAGCAGCAGTCCGTGGGCAGTCTCTCATGTCTCGTCGGAATCCTTCTTCAAAAACAAACATGGTAAGGTGCAAATCTTGACCTTGACTTCCTAATCAAAAAATTAAATTGGTTTTTCTTTACTCAGGTTCCCTTTTCGTTCTAAAGAAAGATATTTTAAAGATTTTAAGGAAAACGACCACTTTTTTAAGTTTAAAAAACATGTTTCAACAGAACTTCTGTCATCTTCAGTTGAATGAATGATTACAA